TGATTTATGTTACTTTCTCAGTAATCTATCTCATACGCTCTGGCCCAAGCATTAAAATATCCTCCTGCACTTCCCAATATATAGGCGATCTGCAAGGCTTCCCGTACGATGCTTCATACGGGGCCACACCAATTATCGCTTGATAACTGTTGTTATAAGAGAACTCTATCAGTAGAATATGATCCTCCCAGTTGACTTTGGAAGTAAATGGCACAAGCCCGCAACATGTCCTCCAACATCTGATTTACTCTTTCCATCTTACCATCCGTCTGTGGGTAGAATACACTACTGTAAGATAAATCTGTTGCCAAATGAATCCTGGAAATCCTTCCAAAAATACAGAATGAAATATGTTGGCTTCATTAGTATATCCATTATCATCCAACCAAAATCATTTTCTTTCTTTGACTTCGGCAACCCTACAATAATGTTCATAAAAAGGGTTGCCCACTTCTATTTCGAAACTGGAAAAGATTGAAGTGTTCCTACGGGTCTCTAATGTTCCACCTTCACTTACTGACAGGTAAGATACTTAGCTATATACTCTGAAATCTTCCTACGCCTATCACTCCACCAAAAGTGTCTCTTTAAGTCCTTGTACATCTTAGAATTCATAGTCCTCAATAAACTCAATCCACCGTCGCTGTCTCTGGTTGAGTTCCTTCTGGGAGAAAAGATACTTCAAACTCTGGTGGTCGATGAACAACTTAAATTGCACTCCATACAAGTAATGTCTCCATGACTTCAGTGCAAATATCACTGCTGCTAACTCCAAGTCATGAGTGGGATAGTTCTGCTTATGCACTCTAAATTACCGTGAGACATATGTTACTACTCTCTGAGTTTGCATCGAAACGTCTCCTAAATCTGCCAATGATATATCTGTGTAGACAACTTAGCCTTCAAGGTATCAAGGCCTCCTGGCACTCCATGCTCCAAATGAACTGTACACTCTTCTTCGTAAGGCGTGTAAGTGGTGTCAAAATCTTCAAAAAGTCTAGGATGAACTTCCTGTAATAACCAGCTAACCCAAGAAGCTTTGAATCTCTATCACCATCTTCGGCGGTTCTAAAACAAGAATTGCTGTAAACTTAGCCGGATTCACTGCAATGCCCTCTCTGCTGTTGACGTGGCCGAGAAATCTAACTTTGATGACCAAAACTCGTATTTGCTAAACTTAACATATAACTGATGCTCCTGAAGAGTCTGCAATGCTACTCGTGTTCTGCCTATGATCTCGAAAACATGAGGATATCAAACTGGCCCATGAAGGGATGGAAAAACCCGGTTCATAACATTCATGAATACCACAGGTGCATTAGTCAACCCGAATAGCCTGACTAGAAACTCTAAAGATTCACATCGAATTAGAAAAAATGGTTTTGGGAAAATCCATCTCCCGAACCCGCAACTATGATAACCAGAACGAAGATCAAACTTCGAGAAATACTACGCTCTCTGCAACTAGTCGAACAAGTCATCAATCCTAGGTAATGAGTACCTATTCCGGATAGTGTCCTTGTTCGGCTCTCTATAATAAGTGCAAAATCTCATATTACCGTCCTTTTTCTTCACGAAGAGGACCGATGCGCCCCATGGAGAATAACTCCTACAAATAAAACCTGAGTTGACAACTCGTCCAACTGGGTCTGAAGCTCCCTCATCTCAGCTGGTGCCATATGATAGGGTGCGCGGGATATCGAGGCTGTGCCCGGCTGCAACTTAATACACCACTCGACCTCTCACACAGGAGGTAACCCAGGTATGTCCTGAAAGACATCCTGATATTCTGAGACAACTCTAGTCTCTAATGAATCAATACTCAGATCCCGTCGCATCACCTCATCGATGAACGCCAGGAGTGACTCCGCAAAGCGAATGCCCTAAGAAGTGGCCACAATCATCTCAGACCCGTCGGACGCTCGCAAATTTGACATTCCTGGTTTCACCTCGGACTGCAGCCTTGTGTGAACCCAGGGGCATCACAGTTAGGTGGCTTGATTACCACTTTAGCTTACGGGATGGGTTTAGGAGAGCTTGTAGAAAGACTTCATCCATTAAGCCCTAGTGCGTCCATTAACCTCGATGCTTGTCTACATATGAAATTGATTAGTAATAAGGGCAATAGGTTATGGTTATGTTTTCAGGATAATTATCTTTTCCTACTCCCTGATCCTGATCGCACGACCATCCATAAAATTGCTTGGATTGTTGAAGTAGACTCAATCTGAACTCTCAGATTTGAGACTCTCAGCTCTTGGCAAACTCTTGCACACTAGCCTTCTCTAAGCATTCGGCCTTGATACTCATCAAGCTCGGGTATAATCGAACTCGATAACACAAGGGCTTCTACTGTGCACTGAAGTTCAATCACAATTTTGATCGAATCGTCCAAGGGAAGCAAACTCGATGCAAGCATTCGAGGGAGGCATCCTATCGCTACCGAAGAACCCACGTTAAACAAAAATAGAATTCTCTTCGCTTCTGTTGTAATTTTTTGATTCTTGATTTGTAATAAGTGATTCTTATCAATACAAATCTCCATTAAGAACCAAAACTTTTACGACCTACAAGCTTGTCCATCAAGGTTCAGTTAAAAAAAGTTTCTCTTGTGTATTCAGTGATAACTTCGTCTTTATTGAGGGGCAACAAATGCAAGTATGAAATCTTGAAGCATTATTTATATTGAATATCTATTGGCTATGAAATAAAATTTCTAATCTCAAATATAAATAAATAAGATCTATTTGGGGGGAAAAACAATTATTTCTTAGAGGACATTACATAGGTTAGAAGAATTTTAAAGGTAGGCAAACATGCTTCGTATTTAACTTTGAGATGTTGTATGTTAGGAGATCTTTGTTGTGCCTAATAAAGCAATTGCATAAAATTTTCTTATTTATCCAAGGCCTTCTTCAAACGTGCTTCTGCTGTGTTAATTATTTTTACTTCAGTTTTAGCCAACTCAATCTTCTTCTATAAATGTTGAACCTTCTTTCTCCACTTTAGAATCTATTGATTCAGATCATCCTTACATGATTTAGTATGATTAATAGCCACTTTATGAGCAGGTAATGACTTGTCTACGTAAGAGATAGGACTTTCCAATGATTTTGAAAATTCTAGAGAAGATACCATATCGGTATTTTCAAGCTTGG